CAATCCCAGATGGCTTTTAACTCCCACGCATTCAAAAAAATGCACATTCCGCAGTTTCCACGCCAGCGGTTTTTTTACCGCGATGAGCTAAGAAATGTAATATTATACTGCAATAAAAAGGATATCATTTGATATATCCCGAAATCTTGACATCAAAAGTAGTTAAGGAACAAAAGCATTTTGAAGAAGCTACAAAATGTGTTATTCTCAAACCTTAGTGGAAATCCAGAGCTACCTCAATCTGAAATTTTGGACCGATGAAGCAGTTTCCTCAAGTGGTGGAAGGACAATGAAGTGCGATTATATTTTATCTGAACGGCGAGTTCCAAAAAATTAACAGAACTTACGTTCTTAAATGCAAATGCCAACGAATGACTTTTTTCTACAACTGTCAAAAAAACCTGTCATTTTCTGACGGATTTCTAAACGCAAAGTACTAGATTTTTAAACGGATAATTAATAAGTAAGCTCTTGACAGCGTGCGCGAAACCGTCAACAATGAAAAAAAGTATTTCGCACACATGACAAAGTTGAACTTAAACAGCAAATTTAATTAACAATCGGTTCAGTTGTAGAAAAAATATTGTGTATAACGCTAGCGCGAAGTTATTTCGCGCATTTGACTGATATTTTGATTCCGCTTCACCTCGTCAAAATACCTTCAGTCTCTATGCGCGAAATTGAACTTCGCGCTCTTGTTCTATAAATAACCATTTTGCGATACATTTTGTCAATATTACTTAAAACTGTATTTTAATTCAAGCCTACAAGGAACTTTTATTTTCGTTTTTAGAATTTTTTTGTTTATAAATAAAGCATAATATATTGTGTGTATATTTCTATAACATCCGCGAACAGAACTGGTCTTGACTGAAAATCCGGATATGGATATTTGTAAATAATGTATAGTGGGTTGGGTTGGTAGAGCAGCCTTATCTGAAACCCCGCCCACACTAAAATAGAGGCCAAAAATAAATAATTAATGTTTTAGAGAAAACCTTTTCTCTTCTTCTTTTGTTTGTTTTTAGACTTTGGCATTGTGGAAAGTTTTATTAATCTGAAACATGACAGGTATAAATTTCCAGTGCCTACTAAGCATCAGAAATTTTTCTTCGGATTGATAATACTAGAGACCCACCTACGTACTATCTAGGTAATTAACCTTGCAAATTGCAATTATTTCACCTGATTGTGATCGAGTTAACGGACGAGGAATATATAGACGAAGATGCTTTGACAGCTATAATAAAGATACTTCGTAGTAGTGATATTTACTTGCCACATTACAGGAGACAATGAAATCAGAGACGTCGCGGGTTCATTTGAAATTTCGTCGACAACAGAAAAATATTTAAATTAGAGGCAGAGCCTTCAACAAGTAAATTTTCTAAAAGGTCGAAACTGCATTACTACAAGTGTTATTCCTATTCGTATTCTCCGATATCTATTGAAAAACAAAATAGAAATTGAAGCTGTGATAGCTGAGAAGTCCCCTTATGAGTTTCGTCTCTGGTTAACCATCATCAACTTTGTTTTCTTATGGAAGTTCTTTTTAAATTTTGTGTTATTTGATAAAACGCATTTCTTTCCGATTTCAAAAATGTAAATATTACTATTTTTTAATAAGAAACGGTGCTATTAATTCGTAAAATCGGAAAAAACTACGAACATACACTACCCAAGGCAAAAAAGAAGATATTTTCAAAACAGTGATGTTTATATTTTTGAAGTCGGAAAAAAATGCTCTATCAAGACAGATTTGCACGTTACCACTGTGGATGGCATATCTTCTCTGCGCGGAAAAAATAAAACTGTACGCAAGACCAAATTAAAGAAGGGAGAGAATTAGAATTATCGGGAAAAACATCTGCACGACCTCTGGCGACGAAACACAGAACTACTGTAAATGAAACCTATAACACACGGATGGCCTCTAGCGGCGAACTAAAGAACTAAGATAATATTTAGATGCCTAAACATAAACCAAACGTAAAAAAAAGGGCAAGGAAGCCATAGTTAGAGATGTTGAAGCAGTTACAAACAAGGAGATGGGGTACCTCAAGTCTACGCAAGTATTTCATGTTCCAACAGGTTTTATATTATTAAATATACATCCTATGCTTATTTTTTTTGTCTTTAGTGTTTTGTGTTAAACATAAAATTTAAGTTTATTTTATCGCTTAGATCGATTTTTAATTTTTTTAAATTTATTTGGTAGGGTAGGGATAAACAATTTTTTTTGGATAAAATATACTTAAATTTTTTTTTAATGAGTTCCTAATATGAGACCATCTCATATTAAGAACCCATACTGTTTCATATTGGGAGCCCCAAAATCTACAATGTGCTTTTTTACGTATTTGAATATTGTTGAAATTCTGAAATATTTTTTTTACTTTTTGCTAAGTGAATTACGTTGAAAATATCCCAAAAAAATGTATTTCACCATTTTTTCACAATTGTAATTTATTTATTATCCATTTCTGGTTCTGGGTTCTCAACAGTCAACAGGCTTGCGCCCAGTTAGAGTGCTCCGCAAAATGCTTTTAGAGGTACCCCTGCAGAAGATCTTAAATTGTTCTATACTTTTTTTTTGTCGATGAACTCTTCTATTTTGAATTTCATTATTTAAAATAAAAGACCAGCAGGTTGGATGAAATTCAATATTTATATTTTTTTTTATCATATGAAGTTACGCCTGATGATGGCCAGTTAGGCCGAAATCGATTGCGAATAACAGAAAATAAATATTGAATTTCATCCAACCTGCTGGTCTTTTATTTTGTTCTATACTACTCATATTTACCTTACAAATTAGGTGGAAACCTAATTTGGAGTAGGCGACAGAATGCTCGAAATTGATCTAAGGAAATTCCCATCTTTGTCACAGATGAAAAATTCTTGCGGTTAATATTTTAATTATATATGTATAATTTTTTGTTACCTTCACGTAGTTACTTCAATTTATAACATTCATTTAGTCAGAAGTGCATTAGTCAGATGAGTATCTCATTTACCTATAGTTTTTCGTTGAATCTCTGCATCGTTCGAATTTTCATTGATGCCCACGATTACCAGCTGTGCATCGTGAACAGTGTGCTAAAAATGCTTTAAACGGTAATTAGTGTAGAAGTAAGGAAACCGCATATAACTAGAAAAATCGTTTAAATAAATTTATCTCTCGGGTTGGATAAAATACATGACGCTTAAAAGCGTTGCAATTTAAAACAGTAATCTTGGCGCGTTACGTTTAACTTCTTTAACGGTAAAGAAATTAATCAGCGAACATGTGAATGAAGAACAAAATTAATTTTTAAAGGGCTCTCTCATTTTGTTATTTTTACCAACGTAATGCGGTAGCGCACACTTTATTTTACTTCCCAACAGCTTGTGCATTAATTATTTTTTTAACTTACTTCTAACTTTTTAACGAAAAGACAAAAAAACTAAACGAGATGCATATATTTCAGTTGATTAACTTTGGTAAAAGTTTAGTGTATTCTGTACCGAAAGTTGTTCTAAATTCTTGTTGCAGTTAGCCTACCTAAAAATCGTTTAGTGACACAAAACTTTTTAAATCGTTCAGTTTTTATTAATTATATGAAATTTGTACTTTTACTGTAGTTGATTAGAAAGCGTGTGCTATGTATATGTAGAAAAATTTGTGTTAGTTAGTAAAGTCTACTCCACTCATAAAACAAGTAAAAACTATAACGATACTAGAACTGTAGTGTAAGAAAAAAACCCATTAATAATGAAATAAATATTGCGTCTTACGTAGCCCACGCAGCTTCCGAACTTACTAGGTGGTATAAGAAACATCGCTACCTTTTCCTGTACGCTTGTTTATAGAACTTCCTTATGCCGTGCATTTAACGCTACCATAGTCGTAGAATATCAATTTCAGTTTCCTGGTCTAGTGACAGATATTGTTGACAAAATTGGATATAGTCAATTTAGTACTGAATTATTGGGTCATATAGCATTGACGTGGAAAGATTTATAAGTTACCTAAATATTCTGCAATCTATATAGCTGAGAATTCCTTCTTTTAGAATTTGATATGAACAGAACGATGCCAATAAATTGTTTCTTGTTATTGACATACTTTATCAGCCGTTTTCTATAGCCGAAAAAATAGTTTACGTTTTAACTGGTTAGGTCTATCAATGTGCCCTTGCAAATGTAATTTCAAACTAAAACTGTTTGATTCTAAATTAATGAAAACGAAGTAACCGAAGTTAACGCAAGCTTCATTAAAGTATAGGGGCTTTGTTTTCCATTTTTAAAACACTTAATTTAGATGAACCGCGACCACGTTTACAGGCATTCCTTTTGACGACATCAATTTTGCACGAATACGGGTTGTATATTAGTTTAAATCACCACGACCGACGTGAAATTAAACAAACGTCAATTAAATTTCGTGTGCAATAGATTTGTTATTTATTTATTTTCCCTCTCTTGTTCTGGGCCCTCAACAGGCTTGCGCCCAATTACAGAGTGACCCCGCTTAATGTTTTATAGAGGTGTCCCTGCAGAAGGTCTTAACTTATACTACTCCGGTATTTCTCATCGCCACTTTTTGAGGTCTACAAGACAACGTTAAGAGATTTTCAACACGTTCCGTTTTGGAGAGATCATCATATTTATTTTCTCTCCCTCTCCATCTTTCTCCCCTGGGCCGTCTAATTTACTCGTGTACATTTAATGGGTAATATTTTGAAAACGAAACGACCAAATCTAAAATGGTATCATCAATTCTGAAAAGGCACACCATTATGGTGTTTTCGGTCACAGAGCTATGGAACAAAGAGGTTAGTGAGAGAGTCTTATTGTTAAGTGTCCCTCTCGAACGTAAAATTTACGTGATTTTCGAAAATCATATCAACCGAAAATGATTCTGCTTCGTTTGCAATATCCCTCGCTGTATATGGAATTATCAACCAATATAAAAAGGCACTGAATAACTACACAGAAGAATAACACAAAGGTCTTACCTTAGGATGGTCACGAACAGGAACTACAACTCTCACAGCAACTTTAATTGGTTTATCCCTAGTTATGTCAACCATTCTTCTAGACTCGTTGTTGTTTTTACTTTCTGAAAATAAAAACGTGTATTAAGGTCTCGAATTTTTGGTAGCTTACAATACGTGCTATTAGTGTGACGTCACACTAACAATTACGTTGATGTAAATCAAGCTTGCGTTCCAAACAAAGTATTTATTATATAGTAATTAAGTAAGTTGTTTAAATTGTAAGAATATTGGTAAAGAAATAGAGTTAATAAGTAAGTGTATACATGCATAAATTTTTATTCAAATTTAGCCATGAGTTTTTCAATTCTTTCTTACCAAATTTAAATTGGTACATTTTAAAGTCTAAGAGTACCTAACCTCAACCTTTCTATAATTTGAAATTTTAGTATTTTGAATTAAAATGGTGAGCGAATAACGTTACAGGTCAGTCTTTTACCTCGGAATAAAGTAAACTAGGTACCTGATTAATTTTATTATTACGATGGTATCACTGGTATCCATGAGATGAATCGAAAAAACCACCTAAATGTTTCAACTCCGATTATAATTGAATTTTGTTGTTTATAGTGACCTCGAAACATATAATTACTTTTGCAAAGGTCAGCAGCTTTTTTAGACAACCCTTCGCAGTTACAACGTGGAGAAAATTCATACGATTGACTCGGAAGTCCAGCATGCCGTACTAAAAGGCATTGTAATTGCCAGCATGAAAAAACGTTCATATAATGTGGAGGTTTGTAGAAAATGTTACCATTACCAATTATTATTATTTATTTTAACATAAATTACAGATGAGTATAGACCAACTTATCTATTCGAAGACCAACTTATCTATTCGAATTACTGCAAACTAGACAAGAATTACACACACGCGATCTAAGACATGTTCAACGCTACAATATACCAGCTCATGTAAGCCAAAAATTTGAAAGTTCATTTGAATACATAGCATCAAACATACTGAATACTAATATGATTGATTTTACAACGTCCAATAACATTAATTCATTTAGGAGAACTATGAAGAAGAAGCTGTTATGTTTGCAGTCACAACAAATGTCTGTATAAAGAAATATTTATTTATTTTTAAGAACATTGTATAATTATAGCACTCTAATTAATTTACACTTTTTCGACCTCTTAGGGCGAGATTGCAAACCGGCTTGCCGATATCTTGTCCCTTTTAAATAGAATATTGTATTTTAGTGATTATTTTAGTTTGGAAGCTCTCTTTTTTGTTTTTTGTTTTATATTCTATTTAATAAATCTCTATTATTATTATTATTATTCTGAAGATGGAGTTATTGGTGGTAAATGTTCGTGCCCTAGGGGTGAAGTATGCCATCATATGGCAGCATTATGCATATTTGCACATCATAATGTTAGTGTAACTGATAGAGCATGTGCATGGAGTGCGCCCAAAAAATCTCCACAATCGGAAGAAGTTCAGAAATTGAAAACACTGTTCCCTCAAAAGCATACTTATCTTCCATTAGTAGAACCCATCACTATGGAACAGATTGAGAAGTTCAAAAATGATTTGAGCAACGCTGGGAATCCACTTCAGTTGTTCGTCTTCTCCTTGCTCCGTGGGTAATTCTTTCAGTAGGGCGGTCAGTTCTTTCACTTCCTTACTTTGAACTCTACCGATGATAAGTGCTTTGCTTCGATGCTCAACGTCGTACAGATATCGGGATAAAAAATCCGCGACTACATTATCTTTCCCTTTACAGTATTCAATCTGTAGTTGGTATTCTTCCAGATATATGCACCAACGCATCAATTTAGCGCGTAACGCTTTACAGGTAAACAGAAGTTCCAATGCTTTGTGGTCTGTTAGCACCACGGTAGGGTAACCTAAAATGTAGGTTCGGAATTTTCGGCATGCAAACACAATCGCTAATAGTTCGGTTATCATGTAGGATTGTTCTGCTTTGAGTAGAGTTCGGCTCGCAAAAGTAATAGTTCTTACTTCGCCTTCTTCGTCAATCTGAAATAATTGTGCTCCCAACGCCGTAATTAATACATCTCTAGAGATAAAAAACGGTTTAGTGAAATCAGGGTGTGCTAGTTGAGTTGTTTTCATGAAATTATCCTTGATCTGGTCAAAAGCGGCTTGATGATTTGGTTCCCAGCACCACTTAGTCCCTTTTTTCAATAATGCGGATAATTCGCTGACCGCTATCGAATGATGTTCCACGAATCTCCCGTAAATTACAAAACCCAAGAAACGATTGTAATTCCTTTTGGTTCTTTGGAGGTCGAAAATGTTTGATGGTGCTGATTTTTTCTGGATCCACTTCAATGCCTAACGGTGTAATAATACGAGGTATATCCAGAAAGTAAGTTCCGTTTCCATTTATATCCGCTGCAGCGATGCGATCGCAGTTCCGCGCATGCGCGGCAGACGCTCTGTATCAAGGAGAAGAAACGTGCGCCATTTTGAGATCGCTGTCAGTCTCGTACGCTTTGTTGTGCTTGTTTAAAATGTCGGTGTTGATCGAAAATCCCGCCGCTTGTGAAATCAGATCTGTGATACGTTTTCTGAATGCTAAGAAAGTGAAACCGATTGACATTTATCGGCAAATTTGCGAGGTTTACGGACAAAATGCGATGAGTGATTCAATGGTGAGAAGATGGGCCCGACAGTTTAATGAAGGACGTAATGACGTGCATGATGAAGAACGAAGTGGGCGTCCATCTTTGATTACAGAAGAACTGGTTCACACGATTGATGAGAAGATCAAGGAAAACCGTAAGTTTACAATGAGTGCTCTCGCTATGGAATTCCCCCAAATCTCACGATCATTAATTCATGAAATTGTTACCGAAAAACTGAAATTTCGTAAACTTTGCTCACGTTTTGTACCGAAAATTCTTACTGAGCAACACAAAACACAACGGATGGGTAGTGCACTTCAGTTTTTGAACCGTTATGATGAAGGCGGTGAAGATTTTCTGTCACAGTCACAGATAGTCACAGGAGATGAAACTTGGGTTTCTTATGACACCCCAGAAACTAAGCGGCAATCAATGGAATGGAGGCACACTTCATCTCCAGCAAAGGTTAAGCCGAAACAAATCTTGACACCTCGAAAAATCATGTGCACAGTGTTTTGGGACAGGAAAGGCATCTTACTGATTGATTTCTTACCGCGAGGTCAAACAATCAATGCAGAAGTTTACTGCGAGACACTGAGGAAATTGCGCCGCGCAATACAGAATAAGCGCCGAGGATTTCTGTCCAAAGGTGTTGTTTTTCTTCACGACAATGCACGACCACACACTGCAAATGTGACGAAAAACCTCATACAGGGATTTGGCTGGGACGTGTTTGACCATCCTCCGTACAGCCCTGACCTCGCTCCTAGCGACTATCATCTGTTCTTACATCTGAAGTCTTTCCTTGGCGGTCAACACTTCAACGATGACGAAGAGCTGAAAGAAAATGTTTCCGAATGGTTGAAGACACAGGCGGTAACCTTCTATGAAGAAGGCATAGAAAAACTTGTGCCACGCTATGACAAATGCCTGCAAAATTTCGGCAGTTATGTAGAAAAGTAGCTTAAGAGTTGTAAATTTTAGTGCAATAAATATTTTTTCTGTATCTGTAGACAAATTATTTTTATCACCAAACGGAACTTACTTTCTGGATATACCTCGTATGACCCAAAAACTTGATGCTTTCCTTCAAAAACTCCGATTTCTCGAAATTGACAGTCATGTTGGCCATTTTTAATCTATCCAGTATCCTATTTAGATGTTGGGCATGTTCTTCTACTGTTTTGGAAGTAATGAGGATGTCATCGGCATATACTGTTGCGATCGCCATCACTTCTGGTCCTAACACTGGCTCCAGGTACTTGTTAAACACAGCCACCGAAATATTCAAACCGAATGGAAGTACGCAAAATTGGTAACTCCTTCCTCCAACCAGAAAAGCCGTGTATTTCCTCAATTCTTGATCTAAAGGCACCTGTGCCAGCAGCCGCAGGTCCAATCCAGGGATGTCCCATAAAATTTTTGCAGTTCCTGCATAGCTGGTGGGGATTCACGGTCCGGAATTATTATTCTGTTTAAGGCCCTCGCGTCTAAGCATAATCGAATGGACTCATTCTTCTTGGGACGACAACTATGGGGTTTGAGAACGGAGAGCTTGACCTCTCTATTACCCCTCATCTTAACATACGTTGTATTTCCTTTTCAACTTCATCCCTTTTGGAAAAAGGAATCGGATAAGATCTCTTAACAAAGGGTGTTTCATCAGAAACCTTGATGGTGCACACGAAATTGTTGCATACTCCTGGGGTTTTGGAAAACGTGGTTTGGTGCTGCTGAAGTACTTCTTCCATCATCCTTTTACCAGTCAGCAGCCCGGGTCTCGTTGCGCTAATTGTAAGTTCTGTGTGCCGTCTTTGATGCTGCAAGTATGCTTCATGGAACGGGAGAACGGCCGGACATTTTTCACAATGATAATTGGTGACTGACACATGCTTCTTTCCTATCTTCCTCTTTCTGTTGTGCTAATGCATTCAAAACTGCCAACAGCTCGTCATCAAAATCTTCCTGGGGTTTGTCCTCTTTTGATTCAATATCTTCAACCTTGACGTTTACTTCTTCTTCCCGTAGTGTCAGCTGTGCGGAGCTCACTTCGGTGTTACTTTCCTCGAATGGCACTTCATATTTTCCATCGGCATCCTCTAAGATGGGGTACTTTTCTTTACAATTCAATATGGCTTGCTGTTTTGCCAACCAATCCATACCCAGTATACAGGGGATGTTTAAATAGTTCGCTATCAGAAATATCACCTGATGGGTTCGATCTCCAACGGTCGTATTCAATAGAACTTGTTTTTTAATCTTGCAAGTTTTGCCAGTTACCCCTTGAATTGACAATCCACCGACCGGGATCACTGGTAAATCCTCTTTGCCTGTCACTATCGGTCGAATACCTGTTCGGAAATTATACTGACCGAGCTACCTGTATCCACTAATGCGATCTGTTCATAATCGCCTAGTTTGACTTTTATTTGGGGGTTGATGTCCAGATTTTCATCAACTTCGACTTCTTCGTCGCTGACTGCTGGTACTACTTGATTGATTTGTTGGTTTGTTTCAAAAAAAAGTTTTACGAAATTTATGTGTTGGATCTGCTCCTCGATGACCCTTTCTCGACAGGCTGGAGCTTCCGCCGAGGGGCTCTTAGTTTTCCGAATCAGTTCTGCGTAGAGGCGAACGAATATCTCTGTTTGGGTCGTTGTCGACTCTCCCACGCTGATCATTCGAAAAAACCCCTCTCCAATGAACTCGATTCACAGGTCGACGGTCTCTTCTTTCGTTCCTTCTCTCTTCAGTACTCTCGTTGTTATTTCTCCGTCCATTTCTCTCTTCCAGTCCTTTCAGAATTTCTAACAATCCCTTAACCGGTCTGGTTTGTGACGCTAGGATTTTAGGAATTTTAGGATTCAAATATTGGGTACGATCAACCCAGTACCAAACGTGGTGAGTGAATGATCCCTCTGTTTCGGTTATAGGTACGCGGTTCGTAGATAGATGCACGTATC